AATAGTTGCCTGGCACCCTTAAACGCACCGTATGGCACCCCAAGGAGCCCCAGCACCTGGTTCAGAACCACTCACTACCTTAGAGAGTGAATTCTTTGGTGCAGGGGCCACCTTCCTACAACGCCCAGCCCAATGGGACTGCGGCTGATGTCTACGATTCCTCAAGCATGTCCACAACACAGATAATAAAAAAAGCCATTCATCTCAATTCCTCCACAAAGGAACCAGGTTAAATAATAAGCTCTGGCACGTGTAACTATTGTTGAAAAGATGGTTAGATTTCACTGCTTGGTATGAGTAATAACCCAATGCCTATTACTTTGCTCCAGGTTCTGGATAGTGACACGAAGCAAAGATTTCTATGGGAAGAGAAGCCACTTTGCTGCAATGCTGAGATTATATTGACCTGACAGATACAGGACACTGAACGACCTTCAGCAAGGGCAAATCAGAGGAGAGCAGCAAAAGACAATTTTCAAGACTGTCAGCAAGGTTCAAAAAACGTGACCAGATGCTATTCACCCTGTGCAATCCACGGGGCTTCAGACTTCTCCGCCCTGGCAGAAAGTATTTCCCAGAAGCCAATTCCATCAAAGCTAAGCTTCCAGTCACCAGTCCACTGGTAGGTTTGGGGTTGTTTTTTTTTAACGAGGGCTTCAAATATTTGCCCATCAAGGTGATAACAGGTTGCAGATAAGTTAACACAAAATCCTCATTTGGGTTGGATTTACCAAGTGACAGTAAACTGGCACATGGAGACAGCAGAGCATTAAATTGATCTCATCATTGACAAGGAAAACAGCACAACTTACCTTGACTTCAGCAAGAAGCAACTTTTCCTGGCCTGTTTCGGTGCGCGCTCTTGTGCCTAAAGAAACTCCGCAGCCCCGACTCGTCAGATGGTTCCTTCACGTTTGGCTGGTTTGTCAACAGACGGCCATGGCCTGCAATGAGAACAACGCCCCAGAGACACCCAGCTGAAACCCAGTCAAGGTCCATCTCTTCACAGTGCTCACTGGCCCAAGCAAAGTCTCTAGGGCCACCAGAGGCTCTGGGGCAGATCTGCTCCTCTGGCACAAGACTTTCTATGAGGGTAAAGCTAACTGATGCTGAAGACCGAGCTTTCTCTGTTTGCAAGGGACCAGGGAATGGGTAGTCAGGGACCTGGATAACAAGGGGCCAAGAAGCTGAGACTGGGGTCCTGAGCTGAAGGCTGGAGTCAGAAGTTGAGGGCTCCAGGAGTCCAGAAGGCAAGCCAGAAGCCATGCTTGAGCAAGCTCTGACCAGACAGGGCAGGAAGCACAACTTGGAAGTCTTTGCCCAGACAGTTTGGTCCCATCTCTTTTGGCTTATAAAGCTCTATGTGGGTGTGGGTCCCTTTCCAATCGCCACAGGGAATGACTCAACCTAGTTCCTGATGACTTCCACTTGGGGCTGGAACCTCCTGAGACAGCTTCTGGGTTCACTCCCCAGTCCTGGACCAGTGTAATGATCCTGAGCCTAAGGACCATCACAGTCTTTCTCACCTTGAGCTTCCTGGTCCTCTGTAAGATCAACATTAGGTTTGTATCAAAACATAGACATGCAATAACCTAGAGAGAGACTTTAACAGAATTAAAGGGCCTTCATGCAGACACACAACGGCACTATTGTCGTTGCAGGATGGAGGGCTACAACACAAGTCCCTCAGGCCATTGAACAGTCAGAACAACATCATTTTCAACAACATGGCAGGGGAGATTTTGATATTAGCTGCTATTGCCCTTCTCTTCCCTTCTTTTCTATTTGCTAGTGAATATTCAAAGAAAAATTCACCATGGAGCTTATGTTTTCCAAGCTGAGAAGCAAGAATGGCTCACGCCCTTTTGGATTCTGATGTTTTCCACTAAAATAAGCCTACCCTGTGCCAGATAAATTAGCCACAGCTCCCCATGATTTATGTTTTTCTTCCCGTCTTGTGTTCAGTTCTTCTTTAGACAACTAGTTTTGTAAAAAAAAAAATTAAAAAAAGATGGAGCACATCAAAACATGCAATGCTACAAGATTTCCAGCAGATGCCAAAATACACAATTCTTTTGGAACGTAGGATACTGGTACATTTTTAGGGATATAAAAGCAAAAAGAGAAGAGGACCAAAAAAAGAAAAAAATATATCAAAGATCAAATGAAATCATGCCAGTACGAGAGCATCACAGGAAACCCAACAGGACACAAAACATAAAAAGGACATGCTTAAATTTAAATAAGAATTAAGAGAGAAGGCTAAGCCAGCACTGTAAAGAGACAGGACAGTGCAGCTTCAGTATCATGAGCACATTGTGCAATTGCAGCTCATCCAGTGTGCGAATAAAAGTCACACGTTTGATTCACAAACGTTGTAAAACACACACTCCTACTAAATGGATGAATGAGGAAGTGGAATTTGAGATCTCAGATCATGCAAATTTGGTTGGATACAAGACTTGCCACTTCCTGTCTCAAACTTTTGTGCATCACACTGTAACATGCAGCTAAATAGCTGCAGGCTTTTCACCTCTCACCTGTTTCAAACTCTGACCCTACAAGGGTTTCGGCACAAGCTTAATCTTAAATACAAGTACTGCCATTTAACTCCAAGTGCATGTGTACATCACTGAAGAGTCAAGCTAGGAAGCAATGATTGTTTGTAATTTGTGTATCTAATAAAGAACGTCAAAACCCTAGAATGTGGCTTTCCATTTTTGTGGATGGATTGTGTCTACTTTTCTCAGTTACGTGTCAAGATCTGCAGAATTCAGTTTAAAATTTTAATCTCTTCCAAAACACACACATATTAAAAAAATTTAATTTCCTATTCAAGATGTGAAAAACTGGGCTAAAAGACATGAAATTCTCTGTTATATCTTCTGAAAGAAAGTATTACAGGGTAACTCAGATAAATAAACCAGGATGGCACTTTTGTCCAAGTGCAGTAGCAACCAGCTTATACCTCCAATCTTATCACTGACCACGTCACAAGAGTATTTCCAGTGGCAGGATATGTTGTGCCAGTTATGGGATTGGGGCCACGACAACTCTCTTGGGGTAGGATTTTGCACTCTACTGCTAGACTTTTACTGTGAAAGCACCGTTTCCTGCTGTTTCTTGGACACTCCTTTAGCAGAATAGCATTTTCCTTTTTTAAAGGCGAGGAAAAATGGATTTTGCTTAACAGATTCTAAATGCAATTGCCCTGCTTCAACTTACCAAAATCAGAACAGGAAAACTAGCTAAAACAAATGCTTCAGACATTTCAACTTTCTGCCGCAACTCAAATACATAAACAGGCATCTTCCAATCAGGAAGTATCGGCACCAAAAAGTTTCACCACAAATTAACTTGAACCAAGAAGGGTTTGGATTTCTGCACTGCCGCTTTTGAATCCAACAATAGCAACATCGCTGCTGTTAAAAATTAGCTGAGCGATACATTGAATTGGCATTTTTATACTTTTCCCCAGATGGATTTCTATTTGCCACTGTTAGACTTTGGTGACATACTTCACTGCCTTGCCTGGAAGAAATCCATTTAGCAATCTTACAAATCATGCTGCTTCGCTTCTGCACGCGCCCTTGAGAAATATACATTTTCAATCAGAAGAGCCAGAGAAACAAAACGCAACATCGCTACCCAGAAAAATGAATTCCTTATCTCAGCTCGGCTCTGTTCACAGAGCACTTGTTCAGCCATTTCAAGCTCGAGGAGAGTTAGCTCCAGGAATCTCAGTGATAAGAAGCCAGATAGATGGTTTTTCCATTTCAAAAAGGAAAACCAGAGGTCAAAAGAAGACAGGCCAGTGTAGCTACAGCTAAACTCCCAACTGTATAAGTGCTCATTTGCAATGAAACCTGCCTATACTGAGTCACGTTCACTCCCATTAGCACAGAAAAATGCAAATCACATCTGCTTGAATTTGCTTCCCTTGCCGCATCCTGCGTGGGGAGGAATATTCCCCTTCAGAGTAGTTGAGGTAGTTCTGCACCTCACCAGCTTCCTTGGGACTTCTGTTTGGAAAGTCATGGGATCCACGCACAGAATATGGGCTTTCCTCAGCCCTTCGGACATCACAGCAGCCCCTCAAATCAGCCCTGCCCTCCAACTCAAGCATGGGTGCAGCTACCTTGGGCTACCAACCTTCCCCTGTGGCCTTTGGGGCTTCCAGTCTCAACCACTGTATCTCAGAGTGGCTGCAAGTATGTGGGCATCTGTGTGCTGGATGCCTAAGTGCTTTGTCGTCACCCCTCTATTTAAAGATTCAAAATAGATTAAAAACTAACATCCAAGTAAGGCATTTTTGGACCATTTTTCTCCATTCTCTTCACTGATTTCTCTGGCATTCAGGTCACTGCAGTACAACCCGCCCCTCCCACTCCAATACAGGGACAGGTCCTGTTCCATCTATTAGGTACCTAAGTGGTGCTTAGGCATCTAAATGTACTCCTATTCCACCCTGTCCAAGATCCTGTAAAAACTTTCATGCAAAAGGTAGCTGGGCTTTTCTTCTTTTCCTCACTGCTTATGTGACTTAGCCTTCAAGCCAAGATAAAGACACATCATGCAAGTGGATGAGTTAATGTTTTCTCAGGAACTAAGCAAGCTGGAAAAGGACCAGTTAATCACATAAGTGTTACTTGGATGCAATTGGATTTGGCCCACATATTTCCCATAAAGAGGAAAAAATAAGTATTACTGCAACATGTGGAATACTTTTCATTACAGAAAGGAAAACCTGATGCGCAACTTTGGGTGCGGCAAGACTACTGCTCATCATGCTATGCTGCATTCTCCCGTTTTCTTGTATATGGACTGTCTGAATCCAGCTCTTGTGGTCCCTCGTTTTGTACTCGGGTTGTAAGTAGGGAATGTCTGTGTGTACACCACGCTTTGTACAATGAAGCCTTGGTGTATGGTAATGCAAATGAATAATACAAGCAACACGGGAAAGAACTCATCTGCAATATAAAGTGCACAAAGAAGGGACCCAATGTATTTATTTGAGCTGCACAGGAAATGAGAAGATGGATAAAACAGTGAGAACCAACTCCCCATAATTTAGCTTCCTCACTAAAGAGCTATCTGCATGCTTTTAAATTAATATACATTTTGCATGATGCCCAAGAGCCAGAAAAAAGCTCCAGAGTACTTTGTCGTCTCCATCAGCTTTTCCACCTATAAATTAAACAGAAGGAAAACAAGAGCTCTCTCATACCTTAAAGCAGGGATTTCCCAAAGTGTGGTCTCTGCAGTGCTTGCATGTAGCTGACAAAGGGACGTTTAAATGGTGGCCGTCCTCCACCAAACCAGCTGAGTGGACAGACTGTAGCTGACTGACTGTTCAGTACTAACTGACTAACAAAAACAAGCAGCAGTCCTACAATTCCTCTTGTAACCTCTCATGTGCATTGCATGTTATGCTACATCTAGTGAACCTGATCCATTTTCTAGTACAGATGTGTTTCATGGGATGCCCCCAGTGAGATGCCCCACTTTTTAAGCATCTCTCCAAGGAACAAAGCCTTGGAAACTCCTGCCCTAAAGGGACAGCCTTCAACACAGCCTTCTGGTTCATCTCTTTATTTCTCTTTACTCTTGCTAGGTTTGCACCCAATTCACAGAACCTCACAACTAATCTTGTCAAAACAGAAGCAACAGGGACACCTATGCCTCCCCTTATAAAGAGGGAGAAATTAACCACTAATGAAGACGGTGCAGGCTCCATTTCATGGCCAGATCTAAAAGGAGAGTGGCAGGCACTGTTCATGGCAATGCATCAAACTGATGGTGGAGTGAAACCAAGTCTGGTACAGTTACATGCTGCAACGTCACAACTAGGCACAAGCCAAGCAGAGGAAGAGATTTTCTTGCCTTTTAGGAGCCCTTCTCATGCCCCATTCTACCCTGAAAGTATTGTGATGTCTATATGACTTGTCAGAGATCACGCTGCAAGCAGAGATAAGATGAAGACTGGAGCAGAGGGTGGAAGAGTTTGCACTGCTTGATGAAAAAGCAACCTTCTGATCTTCCTAGCTGGAGCATGTCAATTATTTTATATATGTGCACAATAAAGATCTCCCTGAGGCACAAACCCTGTTTCCTATGTCTGCTACAGCACTAGCCACAATGTCATTACTCAATACAAAGGGAATAACCACTCGAGGGGTATGACGGTAATATGTTTGCATACAGTGCTGTTAAACGATGCTGCCTTATTACCGAGAGAGCTCTGTTTTTTGGAGTCTTACCTAGTTAAGATCTTTCTCATCATACTTGCATTTATCTTATTTCAGTTTCTTAGTCCTTTTTTTCAAAAGCCTCCACATAATCTTTCGTGCAGCCACAATGCGGAAAAATGTCTGAAAAAAATCTCAAGTGTCAAAAAGAATGCATTTTGTAGCACCTCCAAAAAAGGCAATTTTCTCTGTGTTAGCTTTTCAAGTGTTGTCTTATTGTTTGTTAAGAGTATTTTAGAAGTGAATAAAACTTGGCTCTTAAAGATATTGAAGACGATAATCTTCCCACAATCCTGGTTTTCAAGTACATTTTTCTCCCAGTAATTGAGAGCATACTTTGATACAATCAACTCACAGCAAAATATCATATTTGAGTTATGTCAGCATTGATGCATTTTCCTTCTCCAGAGCTATGTTGCCTCCCTTTCTTGGCTTTGTCAGGAAACTTTAATAGGGCTTCACTTGATTCATTGAAGACTACTCATGCAATCTCATATATTTTTACAGTTCTCCATAAACTTCAGAAAAATTATTTCACAGGTCTCTGACTTATAAGATAGGGACTGATCCTTTATCCAATCAAATCAGCGGAAATGTTGCCATGGACTTAAACAGGTTTACAAGACAGATCCTCTTCACATTCAAATATACATCAGATAAAACACCCTTTAAAACAAGATAAGGCCCACTGAACTCACAATAATGTTGGAAAAGTATATTCTTATATTTTATTTTTATGATAAAATATTTTATATATTTGTCAAAACAAAATCATTTTTAAATTTCCATTCTGATCAATAAAAAAAATAACCAAGAAACGGTAAGTAGAAAATGGCCCTGAAAGACAGATTTTCTGTGAAAACACATGGCTTATCACACCAGCTAGGCAAAACACTTCCCTAGAAATGCTCAGACACTCAAAAATGAATTAAAACCCCCACATGTTCTAAAACGTATCTGCTCCCGAAGAGCCTGAATCCTCATGAATAGTGCTGATACTTTGTGTGTGGTCATCATCTATATTCATAGATGGCAGCATCACAGACATCTTTGCTGGGGAAGCCAGTGAACTTAAATGCGGCACAGATTCCTCTCCTAAAATAAAAGGAGAAAGATCACATTACATCCAGTCCAAATACAGCAATTTGACATGTACTGAAGTAATCTGTGTGTGTAGGTGTGCATGCGCATGCATGTGTGTTGTTTGCACATCTTGTAAAGAAGACATGCCCCCCCGCCACATAGTCCCACAAGCCTTATGAAACAGTTCCAGTTGCTATATACTAGGGGTCCACAACGTTTTTGGCCGAAGTGCCAGAAACACCCCAACCTCAACCCATGGCTTGACTTGGCGTGCCAGGGCAGGTGGAAGTCGTGGGGGGTCTGATCCTCATTGCTGGTGGAGGGTACATGGACACCTCCATGCGGATGGTGGGGTAGGGGCTGGGGTTGCAGTTGCACTGCCCCGGCCCTCTCCTTGCTGCACATCCCGAGGTGCATATGCAGGCGTTGCTGGCCATGGAGCCCAGAGCCCAGGTCCCGTTCCACAGCCAGTGGTGGTTGCACTCATGCCTCAGTGTGCACAGAGGGGAAGGGGCCACAGCAGTGCAAGCCCGGCCCCTCCCCTGCCAGCAAAGAGCCAGGCTGGGGCTCTGCAGACCTCAGTGCAGCAGCTTGCAGCCTCCCAGCTGCCGGCCACAGCCGACCCAGGGTCTTGGCAGGCCCCTGCCATCCTCCAGAGCCTGGGCTGCTCACAGCAAGTGCCAGGGAGGCTGCAAACAACTGCACCGAGGTTGGCTGAGCCCTGGCCTGACTCGCTGCTGGCAGCAGCTGCACATGCGTCTCCGGGTGGACAGCAAGGGAGGGGCCAGGGTTGTACTGCCCCAGCCCCTTCCCTGCCATGAGCCCTCTGGCCTGTGTGCAGCCGCTGCCAGGGCTCCAGAGTCCAGTGCAGCTGTTTGCAACTTCTTGGCTGGGGACGACAGCTCCGATTGCACCTTCTGGGCTGCCTGCCACATCTGACCAGAGCTCTGGCCTTTGCATGCCACGCTCTGGCACATGTGCCAGGGGTTGCCAATCTCTGCTATACACAACATATCCATTACAAAAAGCAAGGAAACGAAAAACTTAGGCCGCTATCAGTATATATCTGTTGATCCTTTGTGCTCAAGGCATAAGCTCTTTCATTATCTCAGCTTCTCTACACCACAGTCTGACCACCACCAACCCTGCCCCACAGAGAAGCCATCCTCCCCCTCCGTGATTGTACAAGCATCCTCTGCACTAGACCCTTGTCATTCGTCCCTCTTTTCCTCCACCCTGGGGCAGATTCCCGACAGAGAGACAATGAACCAAGGAACCTTGCTGGAAGGGCTGGCCTGGGGATTTTACCAACCACATGTTTCCACCGTCCATGTCCCAGGCACTGAGGGATTCAAGTCTAAGGCAAGGTTTTGCAGATCTCCATCACAGTTCCCTCTGCCTTTGGCCCAGGAGGGGCAAACAGCTGCTGTGATGAAGGAGGCTAGGTGAGCTGGAGTCTAGCCTGCAGGTACAGTGGGGAGCACTTCGGGGGGGCTTAGTGTGCAGGCTTTACTATAAATAATACTACTTGTAAATAGTTCTCAACTGTTTTGCTGCAAGTGTGGCTGACAGTCTGAGAATGAGAGGGTCCGACGGGCAGCGTGGGAGAGGAGGGTCCCCCCGGGCGGCGCGGGAGAGGAAGGTCCCTGGATGGACCGCGGGAATTGGGACGGCGGCACCATAAAATCTGGTTGTTTTGAAGCAGTCTGCCGTGCTGTTTGGGACTGCAAGACTCTGATCTCTGCTCTTTAAAAGAATAAAAACACTCCCTCCTTCCTGGGAGCGGACCAAAAAGGAGCTCCCCAAAGTGGAGGCGCTATGAATCACCGGGGAAGCCAGGGACTGAAGAAGAGCCAGGGACTCGTAGCCAGAGGCTTGTCCGTTGTGAAGCCACGCTAGGGCTGACTGCAGGGGGTCCTCACAGGAGAGGGAGACCAAATTAATCTGCTTCTTGGGGGAGTCCCAAGGAAAAGCTTTTCCCTGCCCCTTGAAAAGGGGCAGTTTGATCCTATTCTTTTTCGTGACACCTGTGTAGAGTGGAAACACCAGACAAAACCACCTTGCAACAGTGGGAGACTGCTACAAGGAATAAACCTCAAGAGCTTTCAGCAGCATGCTTGGCTGAGCAGCTGTCAAAGCCCACCAGCAAGGAACTGCCGGGAAAAGGAAACCACTTGCAGCCTGATACCTGGGGAACGCTGGGGACAAGGACTACGGGAAAAGGTTACAAGCAAGAGGAGTGTCACGGACATTCAGCTGCGGGGCAGCAGAAGCAGCAAGCCTTGAGGCAGGCTACAATGACAGAGCACTCAAGTACAGCACAAATGGCGCTGGGTGGTGAAAAAGCACCAGAATTAAAACAAGAGTAAATCTGCCAGGAGGGCAGAAGGATTTCTATGATCCCCTTGGCGCTGCTTTGTCCAATAAAGGGTTCAGCAATATCCTCACGGAAAGCTGAGCGCACGCCTGGCTCAGCATGGGACAGTGAAAGCTCTGTTGGAGTTTGCTCTTACATCAACATGACACCATCATCTTTCCATGTTCTTTGACAGCCTCAGCCATTAAAACTCCATTCTCTCAAAGAAAAAAAGGGAAAAAAAAACCCCGTCAGGCTTTCCCTCACCCTACTTAATGATCTCTGACGACAATGTAGCAGCACCACCCTTTCACCTGACTGTGCCAGGACATTCTTCCAATTACTAATTAAACTAATCGCTGATTGAATGAAACCTGGTGCTAAAATAAAATTTCATTCAGTGTTTTTCATGCAAGAGCAGTTGCCAACTTCCAGCAAAGGCAAACACAGCCAGGGCCAAACTCAGTAAACCCAGCACGGAGAACAACCTGCGTGCCAGCCGTCCCTTCTGCATCTCAGGATGACTGGCCTCTAGGGAAGGCAAAAGGAGAGGAGGTTGCTGCCCCCTTGGCAGGCTTCTTGAGTCAGTACATTACCTGGCTGTTACAGCCACAAAAATAACTCTCTGATCAACATAACTTCCAATTTGCAAGCATATCTGCCCCTTGTAGCTCCACCTCTACAGACATTGCCATCACCTCATTCCCCTAGCTGACTTTTTTCTGCAAAGTATGCCTGCCTGAGTTTATGTTGGCATAAACCTCGAGTGAATCCAACCTGTTATCAGTACGTGCCAAAAGCTGTTCCCCTTCTGAAGCCCATTTGAAATGGCACTTCTGGTAATGCTAAGGAGTTGCATATCGAATAAATATTATTTTATCCTTTAAAGATGATATTTGCTTTAAGTTTTAAGGGGCGTCCTACATTAACTGCCTGAACGTAGCAAAAAAAGTTTGGTAAAGGAAAATGGGAACAGAAGAACTGAGTGAACATTCACTTGGTCAGAAGCGAAGCTAACTCTGAAGTTAAAATGTGACTGAAATGCTTGAGAAAACCTTAAGTCATCATTAAACGCTAAAGCAATCCTTTGTATGCTCTGCCTACAGTTACACGTTGTGTGATGCTTTCAAGGCTCGACTTTGTTAATAATTTCCATAGTCATGCCCCTATGTCATGATGTCATTGTTTCAACAGCTGTTTTCAGGTTTGCTAAAAAAGAATATACCCCTGATCCTATGGGTCTGCAGTCATTTCATCCAAGCTGCCAAGCGTTTGAAGCTGGGGCACTGAAAGATCGTACCAGGCTACATTCCTCCTAACACATGCTCAAATATATTTTGCAGGCATAGTCAGGCCCAAATTTTATGTCTGGTATAAAACACTAGAAGTACACAGAGGAGCCACTACCTCTCCTCAAGCACCAGAAATATTATCAGCTGGCAGCTGCTGGGTTACCTGCTTCATCATCTTGCATTGATCTGTAAAGATTCATTTCAAACGTATCCACCGTAATGATTTATTTTCAAGGTGCAACTCTAAAATATTCTCTGTGTTATGTGAGATGCATGGAGAATGTGTGTTAGCTGTACTCGGAACACCTTAAATATGAAAGTTTAGGAAAGTCCTATTTCAGCTAAGTTTGAGAGTTTGCATCATGATTGCAAGTTTCCAAGGGAAAGGGCAGTAGCCTATGGGCGCTTGTACACGTGACCGGGGTTTAGTTCTCCCTAAATTGAAACAGTGGGTTTTTAATCGTGTTGTTAAAAAACCCACCGTTTCAATATAGGGACTTCTGTCACGTCACAGTGATGCCCACTCCTCCCTCCACCCGCCATGGGCAGGCTCCACCGGGGGAAAAAAAAAAAGCGGGGAGGGGCCCCAATCCTTTTTTCCCCCCACCAGAACTTGCCCACCTCTTCCACCACTGGGAAGCATGCTGCCAGTGGGCCCTGAGCTGCGGGGGAGCCCGGTCCTTTCCTCCGCAGTGGTGACACCCCCCAGGCAGCATCAGCCCGCTAGCAGCCCACCTGGGCGTTCCCTGGGGGCACTGCCACCATGGAGGAAAGGACCGGGGCCCCCCACAGCTCAGGGGCTGCTCGACCCATCAGCAGCTCATCCCCCGGCTGTGGGAGATGTGGGCAGTCTCTGAGAGGGAGGAAAAAAAAGTGGTGAGGGACCCGATGCTTTTTTTTCCCCCCAGAGCCTACCTACCACTCCTGCGACCGGGGGGGTTGAGCTGCCAGTGGGCCGAGCGGTGCCTGAGCTGCGGGGGACCCCAGTCCTTCCCTCTATGGCAGCAGTGCCCCCTGGGACCACCCAGGTGGACTGCTAGTGGGTGGGTGCTTCCGGGGGCGGGGGCACACCACTGCCAAGGAGGGAAGGCCTGGGCCCTTGACCGCTTTTTACTTCCCGCAGTGGAGCCTGCCCGCATGAGCTGCCGCCAGGTCACATAGCCCCTGAGCTATACGGGGCCTGATGCTTCCCGCAGCAGCAGCAGTGCCCCCCCCGGGACCACCGAGGCGGGATGCTAGAGGGTGGGTGCCAGCTGGGGGGTGCTGCCGCCATGGAGGGAAGGTCCAGGGTCCCCCACAACTCAGGGGCCGCATGGCCAGCTGGCAGCTTGCCCCCCGCCTGAAGGAGAGGCAGGTAGGCTCCAGTGCCCCATGCACCGTCCCCGCTGCCTTCCCACCACCTGGGACCACCCAGGTATGGGCTGGCTTGCTCCTGGGGCAGTGCAGCAAGGCAGCAGGAGGGCGGCTGAGTGGGCTAGTGGTGGAGGGGACAGTGCACAGGGCGCTGGAAGCCCGCCAAGCCCAAGCTTCCAGCGTCCCGTTGCACATTGTTACGTAGCAAACTAAAATACATTGGATGGGTTTTATCTTGCTACGTAACAAGGTCATTTAAAGCAAAATACACTGCCGCACACGTACACGGTCATGAAATTAAAGCGAAATACGCCACCACAGGTTTAAACAGTGACACCATTAAAGCGGTGCAAAAGGGCAATTAAGCTGCTTTAACAGCCAATTTTGTCACATGTACAAACACCTTTTATGTCTATGTGAGCCCAACTGTGTAACTATTAAATTACCACCACCTGTGTTATCATCATCACCTCTTGCTAAAAGTGGTGCATGTTATTAAACACACATATGCACATATATGCATCTATACACAAAACAACCACACACTTGACACGTTTGCTTGGTCACATGCATGGGCACACATGCATGTCTGCTGATAGTTGTATCTACCCTTTGGGTGAACATGGCTGATGTCTTCACAGGCTTGGCAAACTTTAATGTCATATAATAAAACTAAAATGTCACAACTTTAAACTTAAGAGAACTATTCCCATTTGATACACTGAGGCTTCAATCTTATACATTAATCCTTTGCTCAGAAATATGCAACTAATAATTGTGTTAATAATTTTCCGTGCCTAGTAAAAATGAAATGAAATATGTGATCATTCTATAAAACGTGGACTGGGCAGTCTACATATCACGAGAGCAGACACCTTTCACCCATTTAGAAGTGCTGGAAGGACTCCGTTTCATTTTATCATCTTCCCCTAAAACATTTACAGAAATTCTCCTAGTTAAGATCCAATAACTAGAGCCAGTGACCACAAAATGACATGTTTCTCCAAATTCATTGTCACCATCTCACAGAATACATTAATACAACTTGTGAAAATTGATACCATTTATATGCCTGTAAGGACCCTTGATTAGCTGAAATTCAATAATGACCCACAAATTTTTGGTGAAGCACCAACAGCAAGGTTGGTCACATTTCAGATTTGGCATCGTTGGCACCTTAGCAAATCTATAGCGAATCATTGTATAATACTCAATTTGAAGATTCTGGTTCAACAGAACCACGAGAAGGAACCTGCATGTCTCTAAGTGACATGTTACAGGAGTCTTCATGTGCAAGATCGATTCACATGTGTGCTTTGTACACAAGATACCATGCATCCAGAACACAAGCCAATTCGAGCAGGAATTAAACAGACTGCAGGGAGGTTTGGTTACTAATACCATGTGTCAACATTAGGAACAAAGAAAAATGTTTATATCGTTTTTCTTCTATTTGACAAAAAGGAAAAAAGATCTGATTCCTTAAGCCAAAAACATGTTCTTTAACCCTTTGAGTCCAGTGTTTTCCTTCCAGAGGGATTTAGTAAAACTGGTATTTTAAGTCTGGAATTATATTAAAGAGAATTCTAACCAAGACCTCATGCTTTTAAGAGGATCTGTAAAGACAGCCTTTGAAACCCCACAACAGATAAGGGTAAATTGTAGGACTGGGAAACAATTTTTTCAACACCATGCATGGTTTTTGCTAGAATGTCAAAAAAGCGCATCGCCACCTCCCAAAGCTTGGATGCTTGTTTTACAAATGTATAAATTCACGTAACAAAATAAAGCAGCTAACTCCTATAGCAAGAGTAAACTTCTAGGCATCTGTAAAAACAGCTCCAGACCAGGACTCTTATTCCCTTAATAGCAGTGGTTGATATGAACAACTTGTTTCTTCTTATGCCAGATTCCAGCTGCTCCACTTTGTTTAATACTGACTTCAAAGTTAAAAACACTGTCCTGTCCCGACAAATAACCTTCCCCAGATGGCATTATCTCAAGTGCTATCCCCAGTACTCAGAATATAACACCTGCAGCCCTTTAATTCAACGTTTTATAAACTTCCAAGAGGGAAGTGATTTTTTTTAAATCTTCTCTCCTACCCACCCCCTTCCTTCTCCTCTCCCCCTTGCTTTCTTTGCACAAAGCAGCTTCACATCTGGGTTATATTTACAAAAGAACTTTAGCAGGAAGAGAGGGAGCATGCTGTCAGGCTTTCTTACAACGGCAACTTAAAGAAATGCCAACAACTGAAAAGAATGAGATTGAAAAGCTACGAGTAGCCGGACATTTCCCCTATACACCTCTTACCTGCAAGTAAAGATGTAAGGTACTTATTAGGCTCAACTTCTGTCCGATCCACATCCCCGTGGGAATCTGTATTGTAAAAAAACATTCATTTTAATATCTGGTAGCAATGGCAAATTCCCAAGTATGGAAACACAAGAAGGATTCTGTCTCATAAAAATCAAAATTATTCCAGATTTCTTGGACTAAAATATGCAATACAAAACAGTCTCATCTTGAGTCAAGTGGTTCACTGGCAAAACTGAAAAGCAAATATATGCTACACTGTTAGTCATGTTACAAATTATAAATAACATTAATTCCAATTTAGCCGTGTGTCCATCTATACTTCACACGCTGGCTACATAACTGAGTGCTTCTAGAATTGAATGGCCTTTAGAGTTGGAACAAGGTGCAGCTAAAGAGAGATAAGTTAAGACCATCCATTTATACAGTACAGGCCAACGGTCGGTAACATTTTTTGGTGGAATGACGCAACTTGGGCCCAAGGTTGCTCAAAGACCTGGCTGCTGCTCCCACCACTTCTACCCACTACATGGCTGAGGCACAGCAGGAGCGAAGCCGCCTAGCCCCATGGGCCAGATCCAATGACTCTGTGGGCTAGATCCAGTCCATATGCTGTAGACCAGCGGTTCTCAACCTTTTGCACCTTTACATCCCGCCTAGGTAAGGTCAAAAAATCCTGATCCCACCGATTGACGAGCAGGTCCCCCAGAGGCCAGTCGAAGAGCAGGGAGGAGAAAGGTTCCCCAGTGGCCAATCGAAGCGTGCAAAAGCAAAACCATAAGTCTCGCCGTGGCACTTCCAGTTTTGCCGCTGTGACCCAAGTCCCACCTAGAGGACCTTCATGTCCCACTGGTTGAGAAACCCTGCTGTAGACCACGACAGTCTAATCACTTTGACCAACAACAACAGTGAAAGGAACAAATCAGGTGGTTGTCAACAGTTTCTCAAACAATCCTGTCCCCCCAAGTACCCCCTTGTCTGAGAGCAGTCATACATTACTACTTCCCACGGAAAGAGAAAGCACCTGGTTGAAGGGAAACTACTAAACTAAAGCATACCCCACAGACCTCATTCAGGCTGCACTCCCACCCAGCTCGGTGGAAATTCTGCCCAGGCAACTGGAGCAGCGGGATGTCGTGTCCTGGAATTTCTATGCAAAATATGTACATTTTGGTTACTATGGAGAATTTAATGTGCCCTTCTCAATTATTATGCCCTGCTAAAGGCGTTCCCAGGATGTCCTAATAGCATCGGGGTTTGAGGCAGGGATGGTCTTTTCACTGCATGATATCAATGCCTTGGACAAAGCACCCCTGGTCTCGACTGGGAGCTCTGGCTGCCGCTGGAATAGAAACAAAGCAACAAGGAGGGCGAGCAGCGCTGCGATTTCACAGCCTTGTTTCCAGGCTGAAAAGCAGAGTAGTACAGAAGCTGGCTGGTTTTGTGACAGTCTGTCAGCAAACTTAGGCCACATTTCTAGTGAGCCTGGGCTGAGTCAGATGAAAGGGATGGATTTATAGTTAAGAAAACAGAAAACCCCACAATAGTTGTTTTGCAGGAACGGACTGACATGTGTAAGAAACTGAACCTGGAACCTCTCGATCTGAAAACAGGAAGACCTCCATTGCCTGAGCTAAAGAACCCACATTTCTTTGTGCAAAGGCTGGTCGACTAATAAAGGTCTTTAACGAGGACTTAGCCGCGAAAGGAGAGAGGAAGTTACACGGTGTAAGTCGGCATGAGTTACAATGTGGCTCTGACTTAAACTGACAACTTAAGCCCCCCGCTCTGTGTAACCCTGTTTCTCACATGAACACACTTCGTTTCCTTTTAACTTTTCTTTTCTACGTTTGGTGTAAACTGTGACTTAAATCCAACCTATAAATATTTGTGAGAAAAGAAAGTAATTCAGATGCCAAGAAAAGAGCAGAGGATGAGGGCACTGGCTTACAAGATAACAAATATTTCCACAAGTAAAATATTGGAAAATTCTTCTTCCTTTGCTCAAACCCGTTTGAGTTCAAGGTTTGGGCATTTCTGAAACATGATGTTCCCAGCAAAACAACAAGAAAAAAACAGATTCTTCAAAATCAGAAACAGAAATGAGTGAAGAGGTCAGTGGAGGAGGTCAGATATAAAATAACTGTAGAAAACTTTACTGGGCAAATTCTACAGTCTCATTTCTAGAGATTTTATTGCAGTTGCTAACCTTTCTGCTACTCCTTCCATTGCATCAATCTGTCCTGCTCTCGGGTAGATAGTTGAACCCAATGACTAGCAAATTTATTTTTTTGCTACCCAAAAAAGCATTTTGAAAGTGTGTATACAGCCTTATCTAACAACCACTATTATTATATGCAATCTCAATTTGAACTGTCCCTAGATAAGTAAAGCCCCTCAATTTTCTTCCTGGGAAAAACCTCTATAAATGAATGAGGTCTCACAAATGGAGCATCTCTTCATTTTTGAGTAGTAGTTCGACAGTCTCAGACATTTCCCTGGAAAATAAAAGGAGGGGACATTTCCCTGGAAAATAAAAGGAGGGGACTGCAAGTAAACCCCTTATGAAGCTTCACATGCTAGGTACCACCTCAAGACAAAACAGGAAATAGAATAAATGTGAAGGGACAGAAAAACTGGTCCGCTACCTGTCCCAGAACAGAAATTAGCTCAGAACATCTGAAAAACAGCAGGAGAAGTTATTACGTCTGCTTGAAGTAGCAGGTGCCAATGGGCAGTAGTGTGGCCAGCTAGACCCTAACAGTCTTTGGATCAGCTAAAGACAGAGACAACTTAATAAAAGGCTGGAGGATTTTTAAGAATCCAAAAGGTGCTGGTCAGGGAAGGGAGTGTCTTTACAAACACGCACCTCCAACACTGCTGATTCTCCCAATTCAGCAAACCTTAAAGCATGTTCTCAGTGGCTGTTTCTAGAGGTAAAGGAGGAATTTGAAATACGCCTGCATCCAGCCTAGACAGCCGGATTTAGCAATGAGAATCACCGCTCCATGCCAGTACTGGGAAAATGGAGCATCGCAGTCCTACACATGCAGATATGCACATCCACTGCAGCCCAAGCGGTGGTGGAAGTATCAAGAAGACTTCTTGCCTTGACATGTGAATTGTAGTAATCCAACCTCTGGCAGATCTAAACCCTTCCTCTGTGCCAGAGAGGCGTGGCAGGAAGAATCCCACCAAAGCACAGCTTTACGGGTCAACAGTTACTTGCTTTTGTTTTCAATTTTTTTTAAACTTATCAGAAGAATGATTAAAAATGAACAAGCTAACGTGCGTTTCAGATCCAATGAAACACTAGAAACTGAGACATAAAGCAGTTCCTCAAATAAAAGCTATATGACACACCGGGTTCATATAAAGTCCTTCCCCTTCTAAGGATTTTGCTCAAACCAGCCTGCCTTGCAGGGTGAAAGGACCAGCAGTTTGGCAATCACTCTGCAAGATTTAGTGTACTCCTATCCACGTTACTAACTCAACACGCGAGTGTGTGTGACTGGCAACTGCTGCCGATGAAACAGGTTCTGTGCGTTACAGGTCAAGACGGAGTGTGCACTGGGTGGAAGTCACATTGCACCTGCTTGCAATATGTCTTGTATTTCCCAGCCCCGTTAATCCTTCACTTTCATGTGTGCTCAAAATCCTCGCATGGATTTAGGAGGGGGATATTCATGGAGCTAGCTTAATGAGACAAAAGCCAGCTATTTAAAGGCACCGGGTGAAATTCTGGCCCCACAGAAGGCAATGGCAAGACTCCCATTGGTTCCAATAGGACTCTGATTTCATCTGTTGCAGCATTATTATTTTTTGAAGGTTTCTGAAGTGCTGAACATGTTATCTCCATGAAGGGCCAAAAAATTAATATCCTGTTTCACTGGATATACAGCAGCATGATCAAGAAGTTTTAGGAATCAATTTTCAAGTAAACCATGAGGCCATGAGCATGGAGTACCTAAACGGGTCTCTCAGCAGGGCAGAAGTATTTTGCTAGAAAAGAGGACTGCGCAATCCTCTGTCCCTAGGAGCGATCCAAGCCTAGCTTGAAATGGAGGCTGTGGACGGATGGTTAGAGCGCAAGCTTCCCCATACCGTCCCGTGTCGTGTTGTTCTTCACGCAGGTATTTTCCGATTTTGTACTAACTTTTTTCCAAATGGCCAAAGACTCAGAGCATCAGCTTTCATACATTTTTAACGTGAATATTCCCAGGATGCCCTGTATTGTTTTTCTGTCTTGTTGACTGTTCCAGAACTACAGGATTCTCCACATGGGATCATTTTGCTAAGGGTTGTATTACTGCATTACCACTACAAAAAGAAAAAGAAAATCACCATCTTAAGATAAGTATATGTGCAGTGTAATTACACAATTTTGGGTGCATATATTTTTCTATGAAATATTATGGAATTGTTTTAGTCTAGGGGGAAAGATAGCCAAACAAATAATTAGCTCTTGAACAAAGGGATCTTTCTAGTCACAATTCTGCTAAGAAATATGGATTTATTTTATTTGCGCACTACGTTCTTTCTGATAACAGTCTCTGAACACTGAACTCTCACATCTTATTCACAAGTTGAAAGCTCTTGACAAGAATGAAACACCTTTAAAAACAGTGGTACATTAGTAGAGCATGGTGGTTAAAAGCCTTAATCTGTTAACTTAAAAAAAAAATCCATAGAAATAAGCAATTCTAGGATATTCTAAATAGGCAAATGCATGCTTCCTGTGTAGCAGGTACAAAAGCGTGCTGCAATCATCTGTACGAGTAAGAACCATTAAAATAAAAATGCAGAAAAATGTGAACTGTCTATTTATATAGTCAGGCAGCTGTGAATTAAGCTTCCTTAGACTGATTTGCCAAGGACCCCTTAGGCCTTTTCAGCTACCTGATGTAGAGACAAGAAGTAATCCTGTCTTTATTATATAATACATAATAGCCCAAGACCAGAGATAGAAAGGTTTGATCATAAATCTACCATCTCTACCCCATATAATTTCCAAGTCTTTTAAAATCTAAAATGCTACTGTGCACGCCAAAAAAAAAAAAGAA